ATCCAGCTCCTCACTGTGGGCACCTGTGTCTGCACTGAGCTGCGTCCTCCCCCGGGACAGGAGCTGTCTTGCTCACCTCTTGCCCCCTCTTCCTCCGAAGCTCTCACCCCACCCCAGCTCCAGGTGTCGGCCTGGGGCCCTGTGCCTTGTGGCACCTGATGATATGCTTTGGGTGCTTGCCTAAGGCCTGGGAAATTCAGAGGAGGGGTCAGAATGGGCTGGAATGGCAGGGGCAGCCCGGAAGAAGGGAGCTCATGATGGTGTGAGAAAGAAAGCCCCAGGCCAGGGGAGCGTGGGGAGGTGGGCCCGCACGTGCAGGGGCAGGCCACTCGCAGCTGCTTCCCAGCAACCTTTCCAGTGTCAGAGACAAACCTGACGCTCTCAGCCTCCCTCGTGAAATCCACCAGTGGCCCCCAGCCTCCTGTGGGAAAAAGAAGATGGGTTGGTTTGCTTGGTTCACTGTCAGATACGGGTTTGCCTTGATCTGCAACTTTTCCCTCTGCTTCTCATATGCAGAGGCCTCATGCTCACACACACATATACAAGGGCGTAGACACGCACCCATGCCACATGCTGTCTCCCACACACAACTACACAGACACGGGCACAGACACACACCCACACCACGTGCTCACATGCACTATGCACACGAGGACACACATACACCCATCCTCACACACACAGACACAGACACATACACAGGGGTGCGTGCATGCTTGCATGTACATACCACATGCTTGCATGTACATATACATACAGGCACGTGCTGTCTCTCACACACACACATACACACACGGGCATATTCACAGGGGTGCATACAGACCCCCATACCACATACTTACATACACACACACACACACCCCTACATGGGCAATACACAGGGGTGCACACACCATCACACCCCCACACCACATACACAGGCATACACTCATACACACCCATACCACACACACCACACCCTACACAGGCACATACACAGGGGTGCATACACACACCCATACCACATGCCACACCACACCCCACACACATACAGGGTGCATGCACACACCACACACATCTCCACACACACACACACATTGGCACACATGGCTGCATACACACGCCCACCCAGGGGCTTGCACACACCATATGTTCACACCCACACCTTTGTACCCACCACATGCTTGAACACACATGTAGATACACATGCGTGCACACACACAGCCATGTGTGCACACAGCACATGCCAGCCATACCAGTGATCTCCAGTCCCTAACGTGGCCCTCTCACACCTCAGCCTGTGTGTTCACATCTCGCCCCTGCAGCTAGCTGGGGCGCTCCTGCTCACCTTTTGAGTCTTCCCTTGACTGTCACCTTCCCTGTGGACACTCTCCTCAGCTCCGTCGGGTAGAACCAGCCATCCCCTCCTCGTTGCCACATCCGCCCAGCACTTGCCCCAGTCAGACTCCTCTTGCAGGGCATTCCAGGCAGACACACACTCTGTGAGTGTGTCTCCCGTTAAACTGTGAGCTCCCCCAGCTCTGCACACGTGCCGATTTCCATGTGACCCCAGCACCCCCTTCTCCCCCGACCAGTGCCCGGCACACAGGAAACAGCAGTTTAATGAATAAACGAAGGGGCCAAACAGACACAAGCCATCTGAGGTTCCCAGAACTCGGGGTCTGAGTCTGCCTCTGAAGGAGGATGTCAGGGCCCCAGCCCCACTCAGCGGTGGACGTCGTCAGCTGCTCCAGGGCACCCTCTAACCTCTATAGAGTTCCCCTGTCGTTCTGGCCTGACCCCAGGGCACTCAGAGCTCTCCAAGGTGCTGAACTTGGCTCTTGCATTTGGCCCCAACTATCTATCCTGGCTTCTTCAATCCCTCCAGCCAAGAACCACCCCATCTTCCAAGAGCCCACCCTCCAATGGAAAAGAAGCAGTACCTCTAAATAAATAACGCTGTAGACAGAACACAGTTCTTCCACATGAAGACGTGGAGGGCTATGAGCACGGGGGAGGAGTGAGACCCACCCACCCTCACCCCCACCCCAGACATTGGATTCAGTTCAGTTTCTGAGGCCAGATTCGAGTCTCTTCCTCTTCTGGCCCTGAGGACCAAGGCACCTCAGGATACCTCGCTTCCTGGTAACAAGTTCTGACCCCTGGTGGGGCCAGCTACCTCACAAAAGGATGGTAGGGCCACCCTGCCCCTAAATGCCTGCCCCTCTGTCTGCTCCCATCTGCCTTGGCCCCTAACCTGGCCCTCCCCCAGCCCACCTTCAGGCTTCCAGGCCCCACAGAGCTCTTCCAGGTCCTGCCTTGAATCCCCTGGATGTTTAATTCCCCACACAAAGTCCCCTCCACCTCCAGCTCTGGCCACTCTAGAACTCTTCACACTACTGGCCTTGACCCTATTTCTCACCCAAGTCTCCTGAACCCTGGCCTTCTCCCAAGGTCTCTCAGCCCTGCCCTCACCCCATGACGTGTTCCTTCTCTCCTGCTCGGAATATTCCCATCATCCCTCGGCCTCCATCCTCCAAGCAGGGGAAGGAACCAAGCGGCAGCCTTTTTGCTGGAGGCAGGAGGGACTACATGCTGCTAGTGTCAACCAAACCAGGCACTTGCTCCAGCGGCAGCCACAGAATTTGCCCATGGCCTTCCCTGCTTAGCTCAGGACCCACCCCCACCTCTGCAGTGCCCACCCTCTGGCCAGGTTCCTTGGGCTGGGGATGGGATCCTGACACTCTGCCCCCGTCCTCCTCCATTCCTTCCTAAACAAGAGACCATACCCTTTGACTCCTACTCTAAGCCCACAAGGCACGAGTTGTCCAGGAAGATTATCTGTTTTTGGCTTTCTTTTTTTTTTTTTTTTGGGTCAAGGGGTAGATCTTATGATCCAGGCAGCTAGGACCCAAAGCCTGGAGAGAACCCTGTTCTGCAGAGTGGCCTCAAGGGCTCCAGGCTGCACCTGTATTCGGCGGCTGCTGGGGTGGTCATTTCTTCCCAGGAAGACCATTTAAGGCTCTTCAAAGCCATTGGAGCTGAACAGATAATTAAATCTCTCCCCAAGGAGGACCTAAATAATTAATGTGCCAATGCTTTAGCAACTGTAGATTGCATACGAATTGCAGGGTTATCGCCGTTATTAGCACCAATGTTGCCTGAAGTTAGAGGGGCTTGACTTTTACATTCTGTCCATCCAATTCCACACAACTGTGGTATTTCAAATAGTTCCAGTGGATCACATTTGAGGGAATGTCATCTAACTCCCTAGCACACATCTGCATGTGGTCTGTAACCCACAATGAATTCCAATCGGAAAGGAACTTTTTGTGCAAAACATGGTGCCAGGTGTTCAGGGGCCAGAGAGACAAGCCCTCCAGAAGATCAAAAACTAGAAAGGAGATGGACAGACAGACAGACATTCCTCCGTAATAAGGCAGCCAAAGGTCTCTACTCCAATGAAGGTACCAGGTCTCATGGGACCACAGGAGAGGGTGAAGTTAATGGCAACTGGAGAATTCTGTAAGAATTTTTGGAGGATGGGATTTTAAGCGAGGCTTACAGCCAGGCATGGTGGCTCACACCTGTAATCCCAATGCTTTGAGAAGCCGAGCCAGGAGAATCACTTGAGGTCAGGAGTTTGAGACCAGCCTGTGCAACATGGCGAGACCCTGTCTCTACAAAATAATAATAATAATAGAGTGAGGCTTAAGGAATGGATGGGACCCTAGGAAGCAAGTGTAGGAGAAACCTTGGCCAAGGCAGAAAGAGAAACATTCAAAGTGAAGGAACAGGATGAACTGGGTGTGAACTTAGAGTGGGGGATGTGTGGAACATGATAGAATATGAAGCTGTGAGCACAGGTCAGGTCAGGTCATAGAAGCCTACAGGAGCCCACAGTACAGAGTTTGGAAGTAAGGGATCCAGGCAGTCGTTGGTCTGGTGGACCCTAGATGAAGAAAGAGCTCCCACACAAGGTCACAGGAGGATTGAGGTGAATCTGTGACTAGATCTAGGTCTCCCAGTCGCACTACCCACGGCCCAAGCTGGCAGCTGCCTCTGTTCAGTCCTTGGACCTAAGGGTCAAGGGCACAAACCCAGGGAAAGAGAAGGGAATATTTCTGTTAGTTTTATGATGATTTCAAAAAATGTTAAGGAGAAAAATAGAAGTGAATTTTCTACCATCTTAGAGGACATGAGAATGTTCCAGCTGGAAGGCAGTCTTCAGTCCCACCCACACCCACGGGTGTGCAGCCCTGGGTCAGGGGCTGTAGGCACAGAGGGGACCTCTGGGGCCAGCTATCACTGCTCAGTAAATAGGCCTTGTCATCCAGTGTCATCAGTTTGGAAACGGCAGGCTAGTGGGAGAGGTTGTGACTGTTCCTAGGACTTTGGCTCCCTTTTAGACAAATGGCAGAAATTCCCATTTAGACAACAGGAAAGCCAGAAGGGCTCCTCACTAAAACCCTAAGTCCAGGCAAGAAGTCAGAGTGTTTCACGGTTCCTAGGAGGGTTTGCCTGTGTGGGGCCTCAGGTGTCACACGTCCAACTCAGGCTGGATGAGGGATCCACAGGTACCGCCCACAGGTGGTTTCATTCTGTCTCACCTGGAAGCTGGAGCCTGCTCTTGGCCTCCAAGGTTCATTCTGAGGCCAACTCTTCTTTGGAAAAGAAGTAGGGGAAGAAATGCATATCTGATCAGACGGGGGAGGGAGGGCAACGTTCCGCTCGGGAGGCGCGTGGAGCAGCAGTGGGATGCTCTGTTTGCGTAAAGCCTCCATTTGTCCCCACAGTGTCAGCATGCGTCGGCCTCACTGCTGCTGGATGAATTGCCCTATGGGCCCGCCTGACACTGTCTTCGCTGGGCCTTCTCAGTATATTTCACAACTGCTCTGAGTTTATGATTTTTTCAGGTCCTTTATCAAATATGTGTCATACATACCAATGGGATGGGAAGCATTTATCACCTAGCTGGGTTCTTACTTGAGCTCTGAAAAAAAATGATTTGGCCACACAACCTTTCTCAAGGCTCTGATTTAATGGACTTCTCTGTGGCAAAGCCACTGAAGTTCTTTGCCTTTTAATATTGACATCTCTTCCTCTTTATTACCATCTCACACAGCTCTTGTAGTCCAGCCGGAACGAGCCCATTAGTCTCTGACAAATAACTTATGTCGTTTGGTGAAAAATATGCAGAAGTTTGGCTGCAACTTCATCTCCAGCCTTGGTTCTGTTTGTGGCTTCACTCTCCTCTAGGCAAAGCATCCAGCCCCAGGCAGAGCCTCCTCAAGTCCCCATTCCCTCATGCCCATTGCTGCTGCATCCACAGAGCCATTTCATACTAACCACTTAGAATGAACGGGGTTCGAGACGGGTCGCGAGAGGGGATATCTGGTCCGTAACTCGGGGGTGAGAACTGAACGTGAGCCATGGCCTCAAGAAGCTTTGCTCACTTTCACTCACTCTCCAGGGACCCCTGGCACCACCACCATAGAAACGAGCCTGGGCTAGCCTGTTGGAGCATGAGAGACTGCGTGGAGGAGAAATGAGCTGTCCCAGATGAGACATTTAGACCAGCCAGTCTCTGCCAACATCAGCCAGGCCTGACCTAGATCTGCTGAATGTAGCCCAAACTGCCAAACCAGAATCACAGTCTAAATAAGTGCCCATAGCAGCATTGTTTACAACAGCAAAATGTTGGCAGCAACCCAAGTGTCCATCAAAGGATGAATGTTAAACAGTATGTGGTATCTACATACAGTGGAATATTAGCCAGCCTTAAAAAGGAGGGAAATCCTGATGCATGCTACCATGTGGGTGAACCTTAAGGACATTATGCTAGGTGAAATAAAGCCACTCACAGAAGGACAAATATTGCATAATTTCACTTATAAGAGGGTGTAAAATAGTCAAACTCATAGAGACAGGAAGTAGAATGATGGTTGCCAGGGCTGGGTGGAGGGGAGGTGGGGAGTGGTTGTTTAATGGGTGTGGAGTTTCTGTTCGTGAAGATGAAAAGGATTCCAGTGGTTTGCCCAACAGTGTGAATATACTTAACACTACTGAGCTGGACACTTTAAAATGGGTACATTTTACCAAAACTTAAAAAAAAAAAAAAAGAATTAGCCTCAAACTGTACTAGCAAAGGTGAAACCAACACAGGGAAAGTTCCCTGAGCACTGGAGTCCATCATCTATTCATGCTTTGTGTATCAGTTAGCTCTTGCTGTTTAACAAACAATTCTAAATTGAGTGACTTAAAATTGAGTGTTTCAACAACAGCCACTTATTTAGACTGTGATCCTGGCCTGGCAGTTTGGGATACACTCAGCCGATCTAGGTCAGCCTGGCTGATACTGGCAGAGACTGGCTGGTCTAAATGTCTCATCTGGGACCGCTCGTTTCTGCTCCACGTGGTCTCTCATGCTCCAACAGGTTAGCCCAGGCTCGCTCCTATGGTGGTGGTGCCAGGGGGCCCTGGAGAGTGAGTGAAAGTGAGCAAAGCTTCTTGAGGCCATGGCTAACATTTACACAGGGTCAACTTCCACCACTTTCTGTGGTCCAAAGCAAATCACAAAGCCAGCCAAGATTCAAAGGGTGGGGAAATCATCTCCACCTCTTGACGGGGGAAGCTACAAAGAATTTTTGCTACCACCAGCTATATATATGCCAGGCCCTGTGCTGAGTGTTGAAGATAAAAATATAAATAAAACACAGTCTAGTGCAGGAGGCAGACATGTAAATAAATAATTACAACTCCTAGTATCTATAAAGAAGTGAGCACAGGTTGCTCTGCCAGCCTGCGAAAGGGGGTGGAGGGCAGGGGTATGGGAGGAAGAGGGGAAGGAGGCAAAAAGGCCCAGGACAAAATAACACTTTCCCTGGTGGTGAAGGATAAATACTGTTTGGCCGGATGGAGGAAGGGGATGGAAGATCCAGGCAGAGAGGAGTGGGGACATGTGTGGGGTGCATGGAAGCTTTGCTGGGGAGCAAAGGGCCCCCTGGGAGTGGAGGAGGAGCTGAGGGAACGGGGAGACCCCCAGAGGGCCGTGCTGCCCCTGCTCAGACCCGAAGGATTTGTGCGGCCGGAGGCTGTGAGGAGCTGCAGTGTGGAGGTGGCCTGGAGGGGGACAGGCTGGAAACAGGGAGACGTCCTCAGAGGCTGTTGCAGTGACTCAGGTGAAAGATGAGGGCAGCTCACTCAGGGTGCTGAAGGGCCTGGGGCAGGAGCGGCTGGATCCTGAGAATTCTAGGAGGTGAAAAGATGGGACTTGGTGTGATGAGGGGTGGGAGGAGTCCGGGGAAGGCCTGCAGCATGCAGGCAGTGGACTGTCTTCTGTGGGAAGAGAAGCTCCATGCTGAGTCGGGCATCCTGGGCGTGCGGGAGGAAGTGGGAAAAGGGGCAAAGAGGCCTGGGACAAAAATCTGAGCCTGGGGGCAGCCACTTCAGTGAGCAGCGCCAGGGTGTGCAGTCCCACAGGCGCAGGTGGGCGGCCCACTCGAAGCCGAGGAGACCCAAAAACAACCCCTGGGGCTGGCCAACAGGGACGGATGCTGAGGCCAAGTCTTCACCCCACCTGGTAGGCTCAGCTGCCAGCACTCCGCTCGCCAGACCCCAGCGAGCCTCCATCCAGGGAAGGCCATAGCGTCTCTGGGCCATCTTCTCCCGCGGAAACCTGGAGCAGCAGAATAGTGCAGGGTGCCAGGTGCTTCTGGAAGTCCGCTCTGAAGGCCCAGCCCTGAGGCCTGCAGACCTCCCCACACCTGGGAACAGGCCTGGTTGCTGGAGGCCTCCTCACAGCGCCCCACACACCTCACTGGGAAGCTCCTCAGAAATCAGGGAGTGTCCTTTGCCAAAACATGGGGCAGGGAGGAGGGCAGCCTGTGCCCGGCGGGTCCTGGTGCCCCCTTGTGGATTCTGGGTCTGCCGCCCCCCAACAGGCACAGCCTGAGAGCCTGCTTTGCCAGCTGGGCAGGCGATGGGCAGCAGCCCGCACACACCAGCCGATCGATACCTGGAATGCACTTGGGGCCTGCTGGGAAAAGGAGTCCCCTGGTGAGCACTTTCATAAATTGACAAATTCTTCTGAAAGTGAATAAATAATCTTCCCCAACTATTAAATCCAGATTTCCACCAAGTGAGATTCAGAGAGAACAGAAAGCACCTACATTAGGAGGGGGACACCTGAACCTCCAAGCGCCTTCCAGGTCTGGCTGCAGAATTCCTGGAGCAGCAGGTGTCACGGCCGGGGCTGGGGCTGCTGATAGAATCACTGCCGGGACCTCGATTTGAAGGGAAGGTCTTCAGAAACCCTCGGGATGCCTCGGGCCCAGAAGGAGTAGGCATGTGTGTGCTGCTGTGTTTTCCAGGCCCCTAAGCACTGATTAACTCAGCAGGCATGTGGGGCCACATCTGTCACTCTCTGCAGTGTGACACCCAGGGGGTTACCGAGCAGTTATCTCTGCCCTCCTGTGCTAGAGGAAATGGAGGCCCAGAAAGCTGGGGTGGCTGGCCCAGGGTCACACACCTATTAGTGGCAATGCTGGAACAAGAACCAGGATCCAGGTCTTCAGAATCCCAGCCCAGAATTCTCTCCCATCCCCTACCACTTCACTCAAAAAGGTGACATCATCTACCTCGCTTCACTCAAAAAGGTGATGTCATCTACCTGGCTCGTGGTTTGGGCATTAATTCAGCTGGTGACTTTCTGGAGACGCGTGTGAGTGCGGCAGCTGAGCCTTATCCAGCCTGGCCCTACAACTGGCCCTGTGCTGTCTCCCCTGTGCCCCGGCTGTCTGAGGCACCGCCAGGCTCTCTCCAGCCCAGGCCTCTATCCACTGCCTCCTACCCCAAACCCCGGGTGTCCCACAGGCCCCACCCCACAACTGATCTTCTAGTTCCCTCCCTTCCTGATGTCCCACCACCATCCCCTCCAAAATCCTGTCAATGGTCTCCACGCCTCCCCCTCCCCACTTCCTTCCTGCACTGAGCCCCACGGGGTCCACACACTCCTGTTTCTCTGTCGTGCTGCTGCTGTGTAATTCCGGCCTTCTCACCTCTCCCTTGGAAAGACCGTCACCGTCACCAGCACTGCACTCGCCCCCACGCTGAACTCCCTGTGTGCCCGCCACATGCTGTCTTACGGAACCTTCAACAAGGGTGGACCCCGAGGCTCTGAGAATGTAGGTCCCCTTTCCCAAGGTCACACAGCTGATAGGAGGCCCAGTGCAGGTTCACCCTCAGGTCTGGCTTCGAGGCTCAACTCTCCGCACGTCACTTTCTTGCCTCCCATTGGCTTCCTAAGCCACTCCCCATCCTGCCTCTGTGTGGATTTGTCTGAAACCCAAGTCTAACCTCACCACTTCCTATCCAGAATCCCCTGTGGCTCCCTGGTGCCCTGGATGAAGCTGGAGCTCCCAGGCAAGACTGCTGCGATCTGGCCCCACCCAGCGCCTCATTGTGTTCCCTGTTGCCTGTGGCCCTTTTGGCCACCAGCACCTGCCCCCTCGTGCTTCTGCGCCCTCCCGCACCCTCCCGCTGGTGATCTGAGCCTGTTGGTCTCTGTCTTAGCTCCCACCCTCTTTGCTCCGGGTCTGAGCTCACCCCATGTAGATCCTTCCTGAAGTCCCAGCCAGAGCCCCCTTCCGCACCCCTGGAGATGCTCTGCTACGACTCCAGACTCAGTGTGACTTGGGGTTGGCAGGGTCAGTGATTCGGCCTTGCCCATGGCTCCCAGAAGGCAGGGCCCCAGACCCCACTCCCTGAACATGCATGTGGCATGTTCTCCAGGAGCCCCTCCCACTGTCTTCCTTGGTCTTCAGCAGAGCCCAGTGTGTCCTCACCAAAAGGGCCTGCCTGGCAGTCAGGGAGCAGAAGCAGGATCCTCAATCCCCATTTTATAGATACAGAAGTAGAGGCTAAGAGAGACAAAGGGGCTTGGCCAAGTGTCAGAAGCAGGACTGGGGCCAAGAAGAAGTCCTGGCGGGCAGCCAGCCCTGGCCCATGTGGACAGCGATAGCCAATGAGGCTGGAGCATGGGCGATGGCAGGGGGTGCTGAAGAGCAGGGCTCAGCTCTGCAGGCCACCCTCTCCCATACATCTGCTAAGGGAAATCGCCTGGCCTGAAGACAGGTCATTCTGGCCCAAAGATCAGGGGCCTTAGGCACAGCTACCAGCAACATTAAGGGCAGTCCTGGAGGCAGACAGATGAGGCAAGGCTGTGGGAAGCAGTGGTCACATGAAGGCCCTAACTTTGGCCAGTGAAAGAGAGTGTGCAACCCCAACAGGGTGGCTGGCAGGCTCTTCCCTCCTTCTCCTTTCTAAGCCTTGGGGTGGGTCTGGGAGAAGCTTCTGACATCCCCAGGTCTGGAGCCCATGGGCCCGGGCACTGTCTGTGCCAGCCCCAGGTCCAAGACACTGGGCACAGGTAGGTGCGCAGCAGAGTGGGAGCCTCCAAGGCCACTTCCTGGGACCTGCTGGGCTGTAAAGCAGGCTCTGCCCAATGTCAAAGCCCCAGGAGAGGGTGGGCGTCCTGAGAGACTCGCCTGGGACATGGGAGGAGGCGCAGAGGGTCCCTGTCCCTTGCTTGCTTGCTTTCCCGAAAAGTCCCCACAAATGTGAAACAGAAGGAGGTGTTTGCCAGTTCTCCCATGGCCCCCTCCTTTCTCGGGGTCCGCTGCCATGCCATGGCTGTGAGTGTCTAACATAAGGGACGCTGTTTTTGCAGGTTTTGTGGTTGTGATTCCTTTGAACCATATCCAGCCCATCTTACATCACAATGCCATGCTTGACTTGGTCTCCAATACATCGGCACCCATTGGCATTTGGAGAACTTGCTCCGTGGTTATTTAACAGTTTTTAGTTGTCTGTGATAATGTATTCTCTATGTTTCCAATCGTCAGTATGGGAATCTCTCCCCCAACCTTTCAATTTCTGGGTTTGATTTTTTGTATCATATTTGGTTTTTTTGCTTTTTGAAGTTGTGATGCCTTTGGTTATTAGCCCCTCCCAGTGGCTGCTTGTTTATGCATTATGTTTGTGACTTCTTTTGACTGTCAGTGTTGAGCCAGTCTTGCCAAGAAACAATATCAAGTATTTCCTATTTCTCTACTTCTTGAAAGAAAAAAAAAATACTTTTTTTAATTTAAAAAAAAAAAAAACTCTTAATGGGAACCTGGCCCTGTCTGTCTTCTCTGTTCTGCAGAAATGTTGAAGGAATTGAACCAGCAACGCAGAGCGAAAGCGTTTACAGACCTGAAAATTGTTGTTGAAGGCAGAGAGTTTGAAGTCCACCAAAATGTTCTAGCTTCCTGCAGCTTGTATTTCAAGGACCTGATTCAAAGGTTTGCCTTCCTTCCAGCTGTGGTCGGGTCTGTTCCTTTGTAGGACGCTTTTGTGTCGCTTTTCTCTTCCCCTCTCTTGCAGGTTCCTGAAGCGTGACTCCCTGTCACAGAGCCAGTAGCCATCTCTCCTCCTCCTCCTCCCCAGTACCCTCTCACACACAGCCTCAGAGCAGCCACTGCCCCCAGCATCTGCCCCCACCCACAGCTTTGCTGGTCACCAGGGGCCTCTGCCAGCAGTAGACAACACCCCGCCCCACCCCTGAGATCCCAGGTTCTCAGTGGCTCACAAGCCCTCCCTGAGATTAGGGGGACTGTAGGCTCCATTTTAAGGGATCACTGCACACTGCCCCCACTGGACCAGAGCAGGATCCCCAGTGCCATCGTCCCTGCTGTCAGTGATGACTAATGCCAGGAAAGCACATCGATCAGGCCATCCCTGCTGAGGAGCACAGGGTGCCCCCGGGGCCGCTTTTCCCCAGCCCAAGTCGGGGAGAAGAGACTTGTAGCAAAGCCTGGGCAACACTGCATGTCTGATCCTTGTGCACTGAGCCTAAACCGGCGCTGTGGAGCATAGACCAGGTGTGTCCTAAACACGGTCTCTCTCAACCCTTGCTCCCTCCCTCCTGCCCTCTGCCCTGGCTATTTCTACCTGAATGAGTCTTATTGGTGCATGAGCATCTTTTTTTTTTTTTTCTCCATTATGTTGATTTTTTAAATTTGTCTGCTTCATACCTTTGCAAAGAAGTCAGGGGCCACCTTCCAGCTCCGTAGTAAGGGAGAGCAGCCAAGGGGCCAGCCCAGGGTAACGCTCACATTTCTCTCAGCCCTCAGCAGATTAACGCCGCTGCTCCTCTTGCCTTGCAGCCTCTCCGGGGCAGACGCTGAGCCAGGACTGTGCTCAGAGGGAGGACAGGACCTCTGCTTCCCAATGCCGTGTTTGGACTTGCCAACTAACCCCGGAGTGACTGTGTTTTGTTTCAGGATGGATCCCTGGCTGGCATCTCCTCTCCGATCCGTCCTTTCACATAGAGCCCAGCTGCCCTGTGGGCGGGCTCCGCCTGGCCCCATGCCGGCCCTCAGCCTCGCAGGAAGGGGCAGGCTCTTTGGGACTTCCCATCTCATGGACACCTCGGGTCTCCTGCCCCCGGTGCTTGGGCTCTCTCTGTCCAAGCACAGGGGTTAGGGGCATGTGGTCTGGGGTGAAGGGATATGTCTAGTGCCCTCACCAGGCCAGGGAGGACTTTGTGCTTCCACTCTTGACAAATCCTGGAAGCAGGGGCCCGCATCTGGCTGCTGGATCACGGATGAGCGTCCTAGGGTCTTGGGCCTGGCTCCAAACCAGCTGGAGAGGACAGAAAGGGGGCAGGTCAGTGCTGAGCGGCAGCCTCATCCCCAGCTAGAACGTGGTGGGCGAGAGGAGCACAGCGCCCTCCGATGGCTTTCAGAGACCACACATGGAAAGCCAGACTTGCACGCAACAGAGAAGAACACGTGCTAGGTGGGAACCCAAAGTAGTGAAGGCTTCTTGGGCTGATAAGAGGGAGGAAGAGCATTCCAGGCCGGGGGTGGGGCATGAGTGGGGAAGGGCAGGGTGGGGCAGATGGCCCTCCCAGAGTGGGCTGCGCTGGGGCAGGCAAGCCCTGACCCCATGCTAGGACCTGGGCATGGTCTGAGGTGGGTAATGTCAAGAGCAGTGAGGAAGGGACACCTACCTGAAGGCGGGAGAACAGTAGGATGTGTCTCGGTGGCCCTGATCAGAAAGGATGGGGCTGGAGGAGAGAGGACATCCCCGCCTTGGCAGGTCGGAGACCTGGGTCCTACACCTGACGCTGCCACTTGTCCTGTGACCTCAGACTGGTCACTTCCTCTCCTGCACCCTGAGCTTTCTCATCTATAAATCAGAATTGGTTCACATGATGCCCAGGTCTCCTGCAGCTCTGACACCTCAGAGTGATGGGCAGAGGATGGGCAGGACCAGGACAGAGAGGCTTCCCACGTGCAAGCACCAGGACCCAAGAAGCTGAGGTGTCATGGGCATCAGAGGTCACAGGGAGGAGAGCAGGTCCACAGGCCAGCGTTGGGAAAGCTGGGGAGATGAGCAGTTGAGCATCTGGCGTGTCAAGCTGAGCAGCCTGATGGACGCCCAGGTCCCCAGGTTGGGCCGCCTGTAGGCAGCCAGGTGCATGGATCTGAACCCAGAGAGGTCTGAGGTTTGTAGAGTCGGGGCTGGGGGGCCTTCAGCATACAGGAGGGTCACACGGGAAAAAGGAGGGAAGCCAAAGCCAAGCCCCAGGGTGCCCTGTGACTGAAGGTCGCCGTGTGAGTTTGCAGCCACAGAGCACACGTGACCATTGGTGCTGATGAGTGCAAACAAGTGCCTTCTCAGGAGGAAAGCCAGGTCTTTACAGGAAGATGGTTTCCTTTCCCGCCGTGTAAAATCACAGAGAATTTCACATTCTTGGTGGTCAAGAGAGAAGCTGATGTCACCATGTCTTTTCAGTCCCCTTCACATCCGTGACCCTGGAGACTTACTGTGCAGCAGCCGGACTGGCCCAGTGCGGAGCTGTGGCCCTGCCCTTTAACCCCAAGCAGTGGCTCCCCCCTCAGGCAGCTGCACTCTTGTAAGGGAGGGAGGAGGGACCATTTCTGGGACCTCTGCTCTGTGGGGATCAACATTGGCCCTCCCTGGGTGAGCCCTGCCAGGGGCAGGTGACCCCTCCCTGCTGTCCCAGCATCCCTGAGCCTCCTGTCTGGAGGCTCAGGCTAGACTCCCACCCCCAGCCTGGGACAGGTGATGTGTCTACCACTCCAGCCCCAGGGAGGACAATGACCCAGCACCCGAGCCTGGCAAGGACAGTGCCTGCCAGACCCAACCCCAGTGCAGACACCCTGCCCTGGAGCCACAGGACAGAATGTGGGAATCCAAGTCATTCACTCGCTGGTCACTCAGCAAACACACGGGAGCCCCTCCTGGGGCCAGGACTCACACCAAACACCAGCAGAGCCCACAGTCTGGTGGGGACACGCTGCAGACAGGCAAGGAGATGAGCGGAGATGACGCTTCAGAGACTCGTGGGCCAAGGGCCTGGCTGTGGGGGAGGGGCATTCAGGGAGGCACCTTGGAGAGGTGGCATCTGATGTGGGTTATGAAGAACAGGCATCGGCCGGGCAGACACGTGGGGGAGAGCAAGGTTGAAAGGCAGGAGGGGGTCTCAGGTCCCACAGGTGACTCCACATTGCTGCAGGGCCAGGCATGACGGTGGCTTGCAGGGGACGCGGCTGGAGGGAGGCTGGACCTGGGTCACAGGAGCCTGGGGGTGTTGCGACCAGATGTGTGTTTTGTAGAGATGACGGTCAGACTGTGACTGGGAGCGCTGGATCTCAGTGTCCTCTCCCAGGGTGCGGCCAAGTCCCTTTGGGCTTGGCTGCCCCCCATGGCCATGCAGAAGGGTCCCAGCAAAGTCCTGCCCAGAGCCCCACACCCTTCACCCTCTTCCCTGAGCATGTGTGGGTGGCAGCGCCTGCCACCTTGCTTGGTAGACAGGTGTGGCTTGGAAGCCAGATAATGAGACTCCCATGTCTCACTTTGAATGCTGGCACAATGGCATGACCCACACCTGTTGCCAAGTTACCAAGGGTGGGCCTGAGCCACACAAATCCCCAAGACCCAGGGAAACTCGTGCATGCCCATGCATGTGTCCTGCAGCTGAGGACATGCCCAGGTGTTCATTCACGGGCAGAGTCCTCTCTTCTGAGCAGAGCTGGGTACCAGCCACCTGCCCCATGCCTGTGCCTCACCCGCCGCTGCCCACGGATTCTGCCCATCGCTCCAGACGGTGCCCAGTTCCACCTTGCAAAATGAACATCTGACCTCCGAGGTGCGTGAGGGTGGATGAGGGCCTCCAACCTGGTGTCTGAAAGGAAGGGCATTTCTAATCCTGGATGAGTCCATGGCTAATGGTGGGATTGCAAACGTCCCGGTAGTTGGACCTAGCCATTCCTCTGCTGAGCAGAGGCTTCGTCTCGAACTCTGGCCTCTCCTGGGCATTCCCAACCTGAGAAGGAAGTGACTCTAGGAAGCTCTGGTCTTCTGACAGACCCCATGGGGCCCGTGTGGCTGGGCAGCACCAGCCTGCCCCTCACTCTGCACCCCAGCCCCTGTGTCAGCTTCATAGAGAAGGTTAGTGCTGCCCGTCTGCCCTGCTGCAGTCCCTCCAAAGCCACGTCGTGACCTGGCGGGCCAGCAGCACCCCACGCCATTCACTCCATGGAGCCCAGTAGGACAGGACAAGAAATGGCTCAGGGCAGGGACGGAACAGCCACCTGTACCCCCTCCTCAGGGACCAGGGTCACCCATCACAGGGGTGTCCCTCTGGGGTCCCTGCTCAGAGGGAAGAGGCCTGAGGAGCACTGGGGTCCAGTCCCAAGACAGTCTGGTGTTCAGGGATAGAGAGGCGCCCCCACCCCCTCACAGCTCTCCAGGCCACGCACAAAGGCCTGTGTGGATGAGAACCATGTGTGTTGGTAAGAGGCACAGGCCTCGCCCTTTGAGGCCTCATCTCCTCCTTGAACTCAGATTCTGACAGAGCCCCCATCACATTCCCCTGTGCCTCTATGGCCATTCCCTGCAGATCATCTGCCCAGCACCCCCTCCACCCCATAGGTGGCCCTCACAAGGGGCCAGGAGGAACAGAGCCACAGCCATGCCTCCTGTGGTCAAGGGTCCTCCTCAGTCTAGACAGCACCTGCGATGCTCTACGGCACCTGGTGCCCCTCCTCCTGTGCCTGGCGGCCAGGACCCACTCCCTAGCTCAGACTGTGGGCAAGACAGGCAGCACCCCTCAGCAGCCATGTGGGTCCCATCGCACCTGTCACTCAGCCATGGACTGTCCATCTGCCCAGCACCCCTCCCCACAGTACATCTGTGTGCGTGTGTGCTCACACATCCTGAAGTCCCCTGGGCTCAGCCCTTCACTGGCTTTGAGCTCCTCCACCTGAGGACTCCTGGGTAGACAAGTGAGCTGGCCAGAGGTGAAGGCAGCAGTGACTGGGGGCCTCGGGAGCAGGCTGTGGCCCCGTGTGACCTCCACAGGGCAGAGGAGAGGCCAGGCAGCGGCTTGCAGGAATGAAGGCCCGGGCAGCAAAGACAGGAGTATGAGGTTGACCAGATGGCTCTGGGGCTGGGGGTGTTAAGGATTTCTGTGGTTTCAAGTGATCACGTAGTAGATTACTTTTACACTTAACAAAGCCACCGAGGTATGGAAATCCATCCCAACAGCAGAAGACTAGGTGTGTGAAGTCACTTTAGGAGTCACTCTGTGTTGCAGGGGTTTGGAGGGGCCTCTGTGGAGCCCACACCTTGCCCCCTCTGCCTTCTGGGCTGGCCCAGGGCTTGGAGGCAGAGGCCCCTTGGGGTCCTGGTGGGATGAGCCGTTGTGTGGGGACGGCCTACGGTGGCCGCCCTGGGAGGGAGCCTGGACGCCGGCTCTGTGGCAGGATTGCATCTCCCCCTCTCCTCCTGGCCATGCCTTCGCTGAGGCTCTGGGAGGGCGGTGCCTGACCTGAGAGAATGTCGCTCTAATGATGGAGTTTCAGGTACTGCCACATAGAGAAGAGTCTCGTGGGAACGGCATTTTCCAGCCTCTGCCACAAAATCTCCACGGGAGTTCAGACCTCATCTAGGTCCACCCTCTTGTTTTGCAGAAGAGGAGGCTGAGGGCCTGGGAGGCCAAGGCTGCCCACCTGTTGGTGGCAGAGCCCGGGCACCCAGCGCCCCCAGCTCTCTGCCCTGTGCTCTTTCCGCTCACCCACACACCCAGCAGCTGGTCTGTCTGCAGCCAGCCTGCCCGCTTGCTGGACACCTCGACAGCCCCACCGCCAGCCACAGGTGCACGCAAGGGACCCATCACAAGCATCTTGCCCTGTGGCCTCCTCGGAAGCGAGTGAGTGGACCACAGAGGTCATTTCCCAGCCATGTGGCCAAGCCCAGCCCCAGGCAGGACCGGGCTCCGGGCAGGAAGCAAGGCTGCTCGGAGGAGCCAGGACAGGGCAGCCAAGCCGACGGCCTACGAGGCCTCCAGACTCCCGACGCGCCGGGTGTTTTTACTCCTGCTGTCACTTATGCATCGGTGTCACTCTTGCTTCATCTTATCTGTTTCCTTCCAGGTCCAGCTTTAGGGGCGGCTGCCAGGCCTTAGGAGCCTTTGCAATGGTTTTGTATTCCTGTAGACACCAGATATAAACAGATTGATATATTTGTGTCCCTCCCCTGCTCCCCCCAGTTCCCAAGCCCGATGCACACTCTACACGCAGGCCACTCTGACCTCTGACCCCGTGTTCCATGTGGCAGGAGGGCCCCGCCCCGGGCCAGGCCCCAGGTCATGGCTGCTGGCTGTCTGTGGCGGAAGTCCTTGGTTGTTTCCTCTCCCCTCCTCCCGGCTCTGACCATTCTGTCCGTCTATCTCGTCTTGTCCTCAGTTTCAAAGCAATGTCATGAAGGGCTTCCTTTCCATGCCTAAAAGGAAACAATATGTTTTTGGAAAGAGGTGGGGTTGGAGAAGGTTCTGGGGCAACTTGGGGCCCTCGGTCTTGGGGCGATCAGAGGATATCTCTGGATTGGCTGGGATCACAGCCAGTTGGGAGCCTCCCAAGCCTGGGTCACATTGGAGAATCTGCCACCCAAGGCAGGCAAGGCCGGGCTGGGATGCGTCGGCCTGCTTTGGTGGAGATGCCAGGGCCTGCAGTGGGCTGAACCGTATTGTTTCCCTTTGAGGCCAGTCCTGGTCCTCGTCCCCATCCATAGCTCATGCTTTTTGATTTGCATCTTTTTTTGCATGGACATGCCGAGTAGTGATAAGCAGGGTTTTCTGTTCTTTTGGGCGTCTCTGGTCAGACTCTTCTCTTTCAGATCCCGTGTCAGAGCATTAGGTTCAGGTGTGTCATTGCTGTGTCCTTTGAGTCCTAAAACCAAGGGCGTGACCAAGGTGTGCAGGGAGATCTAGCCCTGTGAGGAAGCGGCACGATGGCCGCGGGGCAGCAGGTAAGGACACCCTGGTCTCTGTGCCTAGGTCCGTGCAAGACAGCGGCCAGGGTGGCCGGGAGAAGTTGGAGCTCGTCCTGTCGAACCTGCAAGCAGACGTCCTGGAGTTGCTGCTGGAGTTTGTCTACACGGGCTCCCTGGTCATCGACTCGGCCAACGCCAAGACACTGCTGGAGGCGGCCAGCAAGTTCCAGTTCCACACCTTCTGCAAAGTCTGTGTGTCCTTTCTCGGTGAGCCCGGAGGCCATGTGTGTCACTTGCGGGGAGGAGTGCAGATGGGCAGACAACTCCATAAACAGGAAGGACTGAGCGGGGAGGACTGAGCGGGGAGGGCTGTGTGTGCACACCCGAAGCTCCCTCACATGTGGCTGGGTTTGGCAGGGCTGTTTTAAGATGGTAATTTGGATACACATGCAAAGACTCTTTCCCTGGCATGAAATGAAGGGGATTCCGTGTCATTTCTCTGTAGGTGGGAGAGGCACACTGTGCCCCGCCAGGCCTTGTGGGAACAAATGGTACCATGAGGGCTGTGCACGTGCTCTGCTTGTGGGGAGAGGCCGTGGCCCTGGCCTCACCGCCCTGTTCTCTAGACCCGGAACAAAGCAGCCCAAACTTGCTTTCCCTTTACCTTATTCATACCTGGGCTGCCCCAGATGTCTGCCCAGGCCTAGACATCTGAACTGTCCCTTGAGTACCCATGTCTGCTGCCCAGGATGGGGACTGAGTGTCAGGAGCTCCCGGGGGGTCCCTGAGCCAAACAACATGCTGCCTTTACACTTGATGCTGCCCCGCATGGGCGACGGCAAGGTGAGGGAGGGACAAAGACGAAAGCCCCCAAAGAACCAGTGGCCTGGGGTATGGAGTGCAGAGAGAAAGCCAGAGCCCAGCCTAGCGATGGGGCAGATCCGTGAGGACAGAGGGGGACCAGGCAGTCTCGAAGTGCCGGGAACCACGGCAGCGATGAGGCTCACACACAGATAGGCCTCCAAGAACCCAGACACACCTAGGCTGGAAGAACTACTAGCATGAAGGGGGGAAGAGTGTGAGGTCCTGGGAGGGACAGTATTGGGTAAACAGGGTATGGAGATGGCTCCCACCCTGGACCTAGCCACTAAGCCCAGGAGAGCTGGCCAGATGGACCCCAGAGCCTAGCCGGCCAGATTGGGTGGGGCAGAAGCCTATGCAAGAAGCTGGGAGGTGGACGAGGGGCACTACAGCTGACACAGCTTAACGAAGGAGTCTGGGACCGCAGACATGCCTGGCATGAAAGACATACAACATGGAAGATGCTGTAAGCCTCAGTGCTACCCTCAACCTCAGCGACAGTGTGACTCCTGGCCCCAGCCCAGGCCCAGGCTCTGAGCAGGACTCACACTCCATGCCTCCCAGTCTCGGTCCTTCTGCCAGGACCTGTACACACAGAGGGAGGCCCCTGGGAATCAGCATGAGATGGGATAAGGGAGAACCCAGGAGAAGGATCAAAGGCTCCAGACACCCAGGAAGGGGGCCTGCAGGGACTCTGAATGCTGGAGGCAGGGTCCCCAGGATGTGGGTTCAGAGAAGGATCCAGGGTGACAGCGATGGGAACAGGTGGAAACTGCTTCCAAGGCCCTTGGCTCAGTGGTCCTGTGCTCTTGTCCCCAGAGAAGCAGCTGACGGCCAGCAACTGCCTGGGTGTGCTGGCCATGGCCGAGGCCATGCAGTGCAGTGAGCTCTACCACATGGCCAAGGCCTTCGCACTGCAGATCTTCCCCGAAGTGGCCGCCCAGGAGGAGATCCTCAGCATCTCCAAGGACGACTTCATTGCCTACGTCTCTAACGACAGCCTCAACACCAAGGCCGAGGAGCTGGTGTATGAGACGGTCATCAAGTGGATCAAGAAGGACCCCGCGACACGCACACAGGTGGGGCCTGCCCTGCCCCCGCCCCTTCTCTCTGGGTTTGGGCTCCCGCTGCAGCAATGGGGTCTGCATCAAGGGTGAAGGAAGTGAACTTTCCTTGTCCTGCTCCCCCTGAGTGGCAGAGAGGAGAAGGGAGGGCAGAGAGATGAGAACCCAGTCACCAAAGGATCCTCAAGGGCTGGCATTCCACCCCAAAGGAGACCCAAGTGGGCCAAGAGCCGCAGCACCTGCACTCTGCAGGGAGAAGTGGGTGCCTGAGCCAGGGGGCTCTGGGGCTCCCAGGAACACGGACCCAGCTGGAGGAGCCCACACCTGCTCCAGTTGTTGAGGGGACGGACAGCCCCTGATGGACCAAATGGAAACCTCTGTACTCAGGAAGGGGGAGAATGTGAGGTCCTGGGGAGACTGTGTTGGATAAACAGAGGATACAGAGAGGGCTCCTGCCCCAGACCTAGCCACTGAGCCCCGGAGAAAGGGGTCCTCAGATCAGGTGGGAAAGCAGGGTTTCTTTTCAGAGGTAGGAAGTTAGATGGGGCAGCTAATAACAGTGACGGCCACAATTCCCTATGACTCCCAGATCTGTGTCTCGGGCTCAGAACCCTCTCCTGAGCTCCAGACCCCTCTGCTCAGTGGCCTTCTGGGCCTCTCCAGCAGAATGTCCCGCAGATCCATCTAATTCACCAAGCCCAAAGCCTACACTTCTTCCTGATTTCAGCTCCTGATTTCAGCCACGCCTGGTCCCCAAAACTGAAGCCTATCTTCTTCCCATGTCGCCCACAGCCATTTGGCTACACAGCGCTCGTTCCTGCCTCCTTCCTCCCCTTTAAGTGAATCGACTTCCCTCTCCCCATCGAGACCTTCCTCCTCTCGCCAGGATTACTGCAGCACCTCCTAAGTGGTTTCCCTGCCTCTGTCTTGCTCCCTCCAAATCCATTTTCCACCCTCCAGCCTGAGCGGTCTCTCTAAAAGCACACTGAACATCTCATCCGTCTGCTCAAAACCCTCGTCAGTTGCCTGATCGACTCCGCAGGGGAAACTGTGCCGTCCTTGTTGAGCATGAGCCGGCCTCCCCAGCCTCTCTCCTCTCACTTCTCCCTGTCTCCCTAAATGCCTCCTCAACAAAATCCTGTTGCATCTCGTAAGAATAAACCCCATACAATTCTCCAGACGCACCATTCTCTTTCACTCTCTGACACCTCTACACAGGCTTCAAATGTCCGCCCTCCCCTCCACCTTGTGCCTGGCAGAAGTCTGCCCATTTTGCATACCCCATCCAGATGCCACTCCCTCTGCAAAACCTCTTACTCCTGCATCCACTACAAACCCTCACTACACCCTCCTCTTGCCCCCCGTGAATTTTTTGTAGCAGATCCCCTCCCTTTAAACTGTGTACCCCTTGAGGTCAGAGACTGGGTCGCATTGGTCCTTGTACCCCCAGTGATGAGCTTCATGCCTGGCCTATGGTGGTCGCCAGTTACTCATGGGATAAAACGAAAGTGGAGTGATGAGCAGAGTCTGTTAGGAGGGGAGATTCAAGTGAGCCTCTGAAACCTCCTCGGTGCAGGGTGACAGTTTGAGGCCGTGGGACGTGGGACACCACTGAAACAGTTTTCGGTGCTGGGGAGATACAGGCTTCCACGGCTGGAACTTGGCAAGCTCAACAGTCGCCATCTTCTTGAAGCTTTCGTGGGTCCTCCCACCTGTTCCTGAGTCCTTGCCATACTCACGGCTCTTTAATAATCGTGTCTTCCTCATTTTAACCACCCCGCCCCTACCCCCAGTGGCCTGATCTGCAGCGGGGGTCCACGGCCCAGGGTGGAGTGCGAGAATGGGGTGCTGGGGGGATGAACAGGTGCTCCCACTCCTGCAGGGCTGGCTGCTGCCTGCCAGCCTCCCCTCCCCATCCCTGTGCTCCCTGCCTTCCCCTCCACACCTCCAGCTAACAGTACCTCCCTTTACCTCTGTCTAGGCTAGCAGAACATCTACACTCCCAAGCCCGACACAGCCTGGAATTACGCGTTCTTGTGCAGCCACACACCGTTTCTTTCCTTCCAGGAGGTGGCTCTCTCTTGCTAGTCTAAGAAGATTCCATGTCTCCTTTACCCTGCAGTATGCAGCCGAGCTTCTGGCCGTGGTCCGCCTCCCCTTCATCCACCCCAGCTATCTGCTCAATGTGGTTGACAATGAAGAGCTGATCAAGTCATCAGAAGCCTGCCGGGACCTGGTGAACGAGGCCAAACGCTACCATATGCTGCCCCACGCCCGCCAGGAGATGCAGACGCCCAGAACCCGGCCACGCCTCTCCGCAGGTTTGAAGGGGCACGCCCCGAACCTCCCCAGAAGCAGTGTCTTAGGCTCAGTGGTCCCAGTGAGGTGCCAGGCACAGATGCCGACAGTCTTCGGGTGTGTCCCAAGGGCGCCCATCCATGTCCCTGCAGGTGTGGCTGAGGTCATCGTCCTGGTTGGGGGCCGTCAGATGGTGGGGATGACCCAGCGCTCGCTGGTGGCCGTCACCTGCTGGAACCCGCAGAACAACAAGTGGTACCCCTTAGCCTCGCTGCCCTTCTACGACCG